TTGAAAGGTATAATAATATTATAATGTAAAATTTAGTTTTGAGTCACGGAACGTTTTTCGCTCTTCACACCCAAATGAAAATTTTTTCGTATTGTAGCATTTTCAAACTGCCCCACATTCAGAATCACTGTCTTAAACTCTTAGTCTTAATTTAACTTAAAGTTAACTTGCACTTATTATTATATTAATTTCAGACATAAAAACATGATAAAATGTGTAGAGTTTGTGTTTGTTAATAAAGTAACTGATGTGTTGTAAATGAATTTAGAGAGAAGCTGTCATATGTCAACAGTTTATTTTGGGACACATGTTAGATTTACCATCACTTCAGATATCTCAATTTATAAATAACCCATGTTTGGATTCATTGCTTTGTACATGTCTTATGTGTAAGGAATTATTTGTGCATTAATTGTATCTACATTGTTTAAGTAATTTGCACCAATGTATTTCATTTTTATAACATTGTGTACTATATAAGTAGAATTAATTAACAGAACAGTTTAATGTTTCACTTTGCTTATTAGGGTTAACTTAAATCAATGAGACACAACTTATGTTTAACTCTTGGTGAATAAGCTGTGAAAGATAAGTTTATTAAAACTGGAGTTCGTCAGAAATACACAGTTGCTGTCCATTTCATCTTTTTTTGGTCATCATGAAATACTCAGCAAAAATCATCTATAAAAGAAGACAGTGTTGTTTTTAATAACATCATGTGGTAATTCAAGTCAGGAACAGCTCAACATATTCCATGTTTTCAAATTTATTTAACATTAATGACAAAAAAGAAGGTTCTTGCTTTTCGTTTTAGTAACCCCAGTTCTTTAAAATAGTACAAACTTAGTTCAAAGTGACACTTGTAGAGAAAAGCTTAGAGGAATACTCTACAAATGTTTCATTTTGTTGAAATTAGGGCTGAAATTAGATATTGTAACGTAAAGGCAATTATACAAAATATAGATGCTGAAAAACTTGCTCTAGCCAGATCTTGAATTTCGAATGATGCTCTACCAAATGAGTTACAAGTAATTGTACCAGGACTTTGTCAAGTAGACAATTTTACCCTCACTTACACAGTGCATCTAAACTATCTGTTCCATTTATACATAATTTTAAAAAGAAACCAGGATTTCTTAGATATTATGAAACTTGACTAAGCATTTGTACAAGGGTTTTCAGAAGAACATCAACTTATATTGTTTAATTTTGCATTATTGTTTTAACCTAAGTGTACCAGTACTAAAGTTTTTTAGATATAAATATGATGTTCACAATAACAGGATTTTTTCTTTTGTGCCATGATTCTGAAGAGCAGTTGATGGTATTTGTAAACACCTGTTGCAAGTTCTAAAAGAGTTTTCGTAAACGTTACTTGAAAACTATTGTACGTCCCACCTTTTGTTTCATTATAAGGTTATGGAATGATGAATGAAAAAAACATGTCTTCAGGCAGTGGGCCAACAGAGCCTTCTCCTGGTCAGTCACAGCTTAACAGTCAAGTGAAAAGCTCAGGAGGTGAATCAAATAGACAAAATAATCTTCAGCGTATTGCCCAAAAGAAGGCACAGGTGAAAAGCTGGCCTAGAAACAAGAAACTGGAAAAACTTGCAATCTATTCTTCATGCAAAGTGAGTGAATATTTATATGAAGAGATTTTTAACGAAGTAAAGATACATTTTGAAATTACTTTTTTTGAGTTATCATATGTTTAAAATATAAAATTTTAATTGATGTAATGAATACTCTTTTCAGAAATGACACTATGAATCTTAATTAAGCAGCACTTTCAACTATAATAGAATGTGAAATGTCATAAAACACAATGAGCAATGTGACAAAGACAGCTTCTAGAGTTAACCTCTTTACCATTTAATAAGCCAAAACATCATTCCAAACTAAATGTATCCCTTTACATTCATATCCATGTATTTATGTGTTTAAACAAAGTGACTGAAGGTCATTTAGCCTATCAATTCCTCATCCATAACATAACAGAAAATAATCATTTCAAGATTAATACAATCCTCTTTATCCACAGTATACCTTTCAACAAAATGTTAAAATGTTTCAAATCCACAGCACAGACTACATCATCGAGCCAAAAAATAAATTGATTTGAAGAAAAGTCAGCATTAATATTTAATTACATATATTCAGCCTTTTCATTCCAGCAGTATGACCATCCATAGGCAGACTGTTAAAATTTCTAACAATTTCAAAGACTTCCATCAAGTATTCTCTAACTTCTCTACAGTAGAAAAACAAGTTGAAAACACGCATGCAAACAATAGCTAAGAACATATCCAGTTGATAAAAAATATATATAAAAATCAGTTTGCAAATAGGAAATATGAAAATAGATAAAATATTTGTATAAAATAGAGAATGCAGCCAATTTTTTGTCTAATGGTCTTAATTGAAACCTAAGAGAGAGAGAAGAATTCTAGGGTAGTACATAGAGAGACACTACTATCAATATTAAATCTTTAATGAACAGTCAACGTCATGTGTGGTGGTGAACCATTAAAGGACTGAAATATACTTAAGTACATAAACACCAGGGGAGGAAGAGTTTTATTCTCAGTAAGCCAGTAATAAACTGGATGTTGGTAAGTGGCTAAAGTATGAGTGATATAATGTTGATCAAAGAAGGCAAGTATTGTAAAGCAGGTGATTGATACAAAAGCAATTCATTAAGAATGAGTAAAATATGTAATTGTATGTGAATATTGGAAATCAGATTATAATTGTTGATAATATTATCTGGTGGTACATGATTACATCAAATAAATGATGTGATTTTTCTGATCTTCCTCAGATTTATGAGTAGCAGTATGGTGTCAATTGCTCAGAGTACTGTAAACATCAACAATACTATAAAGAAATCAGATTTCAATCTGAGTTGTATCATTTGATCTTGTTTTGGGTCACACATTCATTCACAAATTCAAACAACTAAAGATTTAAAAACAAAACTTAAATTTCATCTATTTACATCCCATGATAACTCATCAGTAATTCTAAGGGCTTATAACACTAAAATGTCAGGTTTAGATACCTGCAGTGGGCAGAGCCCATTTTGTAGCTTTGTGCTTAATAAGAAAAATTACTTATTTACATTAGATGAACATTAAAACAACATAACAGTTTGTTCTCTTCAAAAGTACTCTGCCGTACTTTCAAGACTGGCTGTTGAGCAAACTTACTCTAGCAAATGTCACTAACATACACTGTAGTGTAAAGAGGTTTCACACATTTTTTTCAGTTTTGTGGTAAGTATGATTTGTTCTAATGAAAATACATAACATTGACAAATGCCCCAGTTTTCATACAATCTTCAATAAGTATATTGTGAATATTGAATTTATAGATTAACATAATATCTATGGATTATGCATAGCTTTCTTTATCCTTAACTTACATAATCTAATATAAACCTAAGCATTTCAAAGTTATCATTTTATTCAGCCCTTAACATAAGTTATGCTGTATCAATTGTTTTCATGATGTGGTCATTAATTCAGTATTAATTGCACAACTGAGATGATCAATACAGAAAATAAATAACTTTCTTCATCCTTAATAAATAAATAAATATATATATATATACTCCAACACAAACCTAAGCATTTAACCTTTTACATTTATCTTATTCAACTCCATGAAAACTTATGCTAGGCCATATGTTTACCATGGTGTGGTTGTTGACTATTTAGAACACATAATTAACACTGTCACTAAAGGTTGCATGTAACTTTCTGACCATACTTACTCCAATGCAAGTCCAAGTATTTATCACACCACAGAGCTTTAAAACTACATATGTTATCAGTAACTATTCTCAAATTATCCTTCCAATTTTAAGAACTGGTAATTTTTTATTTGTTCCTTTTAAGCCCTCCTTTTGCATCTGGTCATTAGGCAGGCTTTCTTTAGCAAGGTCACCCTCAAATGCTGTGGTTGATTGATATGGGTAAATATAGACCAGATACACTAGTAGTCATGTATTCACATAGGCTGCACTATTGTTCTTTGGACATCTACCTGGAACTTGCTACGTATTAAAGACATAAGTAATTCATAGTGATTTACAGCTTTAAATATAAAAAAATTGTATATTTATATTATATATATGTAAAGTATTAATTAAATTTCTTAAATAGTAATAACTACATTGGCCAAATGTGATAGGCACCCCCCCCCCTATTATGTAGCTTTGTGTTTGACATCAAACAATCATAATGGCAATATATTTTGTTTACTTGGATAGCTGGTATAATTAAAAATAGTATAACTAATTGCTATTAATTGATTATTTTTGTGACAATCAATTTAATCATCATTACAGTTAATTCATTACTTGATACTAATTGATTTAATCATTATTCATAGGTAATCAGTTAATTAATTAAATTGCTCAGCTCTAAAATGCAGTTATTATTCTAGAATGTTTGGCAGCTTTTCTGTTAGTAATTATTACATAAATAGCACACAATATTGTCATAAAAACCATTACATAAGCTTGTTATCTACAGAGGAATAATTCTTGTTAAAGAGCATCATGACACACTAACATTGTCCATCTCTTTCTGACACTGGGGTATCTCAGAATTTTAGTATTATCAGTAAATGTTGGTATGTTACTGGTGAAACAAAAGTCTCCAAATCCTTGATATTGATAATTGTTTCTAAATAAATTCCTGAAGGACTGTTAGTCACATTATCCAATTCTGTAAAACTCCTTTTACCATCACCCTTTGCTTTATGCTACAGAACCAATTGTTTATATACTACTTTACTTTTCTTTAATAATTCAACTTTATAATTACAAGTAGCCTCTTCTAATGCATGCATAAGGAAGCAAGTCGTGGTTACTTGGCTCTAAACTGTGACATTGGTTCTGGTAGAATTAATAAACTCTGATTAGGTTTGTTGTCATAGCAGTCTATTTTGATTTTGATGTCATAGCAACCTGAACATGTTCATGTAATAACCTCATTCCAACATCCTGATGTCAATACGTTCTCTTCATTTATAAACCTTGTAAACCTGGTTTTTAGTTGTAGGTAATAAAGACAGACCAAGGTTCTATTGAAACATGTAAAAGTCTACAACTAAATATTGTATTGTGTAGTTTAAACATTGTTTTTTATTTTACAATAATAGCCCTTGCAATTCACATTATTAAAGTTTTTTTTTTTTAAAGTTACAGTGTACCAGCTTACTACTAACCACAGTGTCTTTGCTCACAAAACTAGATTCCTTATTTTAAAAAAGCATTAAATATTTTGATTAGAAAATGTTTTTTATTTTGGTGTTTATCAAATGCTAATTTTCTTCTTTATTTTCTAAGTGATCTCTGAGAAATTCCTACAATAGGTAATAGGTCAGTAACATTACAGGTTCTCACTAGGCCCTTTCTTTTCAAAGTCAAGAACCACATTGGCAGTCTTCTAATCATTAGGAGTTTTTTTTTAGTGCCAAGTGATTTTTGAAAAATAACATTTAAAGTCTATCAACTCCTTGTGAAGCTTCAAGATCTTTGATTAAATTCTATTAAAAACATTAATTTCTCATATGGTGTTTTATTCGATAAAGCTAAAACTTATAGACCATTATTCATGTGCTTACAAGAAGTTGATCAGGTTGGAAATCAGTTCATTTCCATCTGTTAAGAAACTAGTAAAAAAATGTTAGGAACTTCAGCAACATTCCCATCCTCCTTACTTTCCTCTATACTAAAATTTTTGTCAATTTCTGGAAGGACCAAGTATAAAAAGTTGCTTTCTTTTTGGCTTTTCATGAAGCTTACAAAACTTTTATTAATTTGGCCAAATATTTTTAAAAGAAGCCTATTCCATCTTAAATATTGCATTCCAACCATAAACCCATTTTTAAATGGATGAATAGAAAAATTACTTCACTAATAAATTAAAATTATTAATTGTACACAAATTTTTAATTAATTGGAAAATGTTTTTTTTATTCAACAAGAATAAGATGTATGGACCATTCTTTATTTGATCTCAAGAAATCTATCATATTGGGAACCTCTACATCTGTTGAGAAACTTGTAAAATGGTTGGACATTCTGTTCCCTTCATACTAAGTTTTCCATCAAAATTTCTGAAAGGACCAATTATAATAAATTATTTTACCAACATTTTAACCTTGCCAATTCAAATTTTATATTTGAATAAAGATAACTTCATGGACTAAAGCAATAGTTTTCTTCTGTTTCTTTATTTCCATAAACCCCATAATTCTTAACTTTACCAATGAATTTCAATTTTGTGTAAGTTTAGCAATTTTAATTTATTAATAAAATAATTTTCCTGTTTGTCTATTTAGGAATAGTTTTCTAGCTGGAATGCAACATTTTAGATGGAATACACTTTTTAAAGAAGTTTGACCAAAGTAATAAGTTTTACAACCTTCACAAACTTTTTCTCATAAACTTAAGAAGGCTACTTATGTTGTCTCCAGTTTCAGAAAGCATTTTATAGGGTAGGTTATATATTAAGTATAAGCATGCAGGTTTTTTTACAATGTCACACAACTATGTAATTTTCAAAAATCAAACGTTTGCAACACTTTGACAAAAGATAAATAAAACAGTTATGTTTTTTTGGGGGGGGGATATAATTTTAATCTAAGTGTATATCAATAAATTATACAAAATATAGTGTACTTTAAGAACAAATTTCAGTAATATCTTAGGTTACTAACACTTTTATCTCAAGAAAACTAGGTGAGAAGTTATGTGCATGTACATTGTGCCATAGAAAGGCTAACTAAAAAGTTATGTGCTTATATTTATTCTGCTGTGTTTTTTAAGATAAATTTTACAATTGTGTTTGTCTTGAACAAATTTTATTCTACATCTGGTATCATCTTAGCATCAAAGGTTAGAGAAAACTGAAGAAAATATGCTTACAAAATGCATGTTGAAACAATAATTTATGAAAGTTTTTCAACTTGGTAAAAAATTTTTTCTACAGGCAGAAGATGGATGCAAGTGTAATGGATGGAAAAACCCCAACCCTCCACCAAATCCACCAAGGCTGGATGTTTCCCAACCACTTGCTAGTTTGAATGATCCTTGCAGAAGCTGTGGTCATGTTTTAGGTATTATATGTATTATGTTTTACTGTCAGAAAATTTCCTAATAGCTTTAGATCCTGATTATCAAATCACTAAATTTTTGAAACAAATACTTATCTCCATACACAGACAGCTGTTTTCTTTTTCAAGTTGCAGATATCTGCCTGAGAGACTTGCATGCCTTGTGAAAACTCCCACCTAAATTCACGTGTGTTTACATGAATTTGTATTACTACATGATGATGTATCATACAGCAAAACCCTCCATCAATAAGAGTGTGACATAATTTATTGTGCAAATTCTCCTTCTACATTCACATGCAAGAGTCCTCATTCTTTTCCTCTGCACAAAGCACATTTGTGTTTGCTGAAACTTGCCAAATAACTTTGTTCTCAACTTACTTTAATCGTGTTTAAACATAATCATTATGAATTCACAATTCAAACTGAAATCTTCTTCAACTCATGTGGGTGAAAAATATAACTAATACTGATCAAATTGCCATCAATTCTGGAAGTCTTTTATCTGAAGAAAATGTAACAGTCATTGTCCAATGTGTGGTGGGGTCTATGATGGCACTGGACCTTCTACTTTTGTCCCTACCACATAGTTCCCTTCCTTTGCTTTTGATACTGATGCTGAGGAGGACAATTTTGAGCATTAAAATATAAAATTTGATATTGCAAATTAACAAAAACATTTTAAATACAGTAAGTCTTGCATTGGTGCAGATAATGAAAGTAGCATCTGTTTCATGAAAAATTGCTTTAGATCAAAGTTCTGTGAATACTTAACTTCTTGCTAATTGACAAAGCGAAGAGGGTTCTATGGACTTATTACCCTAAGCAGTTGCATGGTGCAGGGAACAAAATTATGAAAAGAACTTCATAAGTATTTATTGAGTGACTTTTTAGAAAATTAATAATATTTATTATCAAGTCAGTTGATTTTAGCTTTTGTTGTCATATAAGAAACATAAATGGCTTTTTCTTCTGCATGTGATTGAAATAAATATTGGACACGTGTAGCTGGTGTTTTAGTTTAAGTTGAATAAAGTTCTACTCAAAATGTTTTAAAAATAAATATAATTAAGAAAATATTTAGCTGATAGTTTTTCAAATATAAGTTTAATATTCTTTCAAAAATACTGTATGTACATGTAGAAAACAGCTGATGACTCTTCCATAGAACAATAAAAGTATTAAAAACAAACAGACTTTTAAATAAATCAATTAATTAATACTGAACTTCAATTCTTTGTCCCATTACCACAATTGAAGACCTTAGTGGTATTATGAACATAGGCAGTATTATTTGGAAAGCCTAGTTTGTTAGATTTGAAAGGCTAAAGCTAATTATCAGTATTAAAAAGTTTAAAAAGCATTTAATGTAACATCAGCAAGATCACATATGGAGAAACAGCTTTTCAATAGTTTAAATCATTGTTTTTAAACCATCAACATTCAGACATTTTTTCTTCTGTTTTTCCAATTTAATTTTGCAATAAAAAAAATTGTGCATTATTTTTATGGTAGTTTTACTTGAATGGACATTTTTATTTTTATTCCTAATATTGTCAGTTACAGATCGTGAAACTGTCAAATACATAATGGATATTATTATTATTCCCATTCCTAATATTGTCAGTTGCAGGCCATGAAACTGTCAAATACACAATGGATGTTATTATTTCCATTCCTAATATTGTCAGTCACAAATCATGAAACTGTCAGATACATCCAGTTAGTTGTACAAGATTTTGAAAGCTATATTATAACTTGCCAGTTCAGTTACATGTATACATATTCAGAAATTATAAAAAGTTATCAAAAAACTCAACCGTTGTGCAGCATTCAAAATACACTAATATTCATTGTTTAATATTTCTCTGATTTTATAAAGATTTTCTCTTGTGCTTTCGCTCTGACGCACTGTTTAGAAAAATGGATATTAATACTCTAGTCAGATGAGAAGTAAATTTCTTCTAAGAAAGACACCAATAAAGTGAAGTTAAAAGATGTTTAGATTTTCTTTGAATATGGCCTGGCATGGCCAGGTGGTTTGGGAGCCCGACTCACAGTCTGCAGGTTGATGGTTTAAATCCCTGTCCAACCAAACATACACACCCTTTCAACTATGGGAGTATTATAATTTGATGGTTAATCCCACTATTCCTTGGTCATAGATTAGCCCAAGAGTTGGCAGTGGGTGGTGATGACTAGCTGCTTTCCTCTACACTGCTAAATTAGGGATAGCTAGAGCAGATAGACATCGTGTAGCTTTGCACAAATTAAAAAAAAAATGATCTTTGAATATTTATTAAAAGTGGAAAGAAATCAGCTGTACTGTATTTGGAAGAACAAATTATATTGTTTTGTGACTGCTGCCGCTATCCTAAATGTTAAATAGATATGTTTATGAACAATGAATGTGTATTTTGAAAACTTAAGTTTAAAAATTGTGTATAGAATAATAAAATGTGAAATTTCTTAAAATATCTTTTCCTTGAAATATATAATTTAGTTTTATATATTTTTATGGTTTAATTTTGTTTATAAAAAGCTTGTGTAGAAAAATAATACAACAAATTAAAGTTTTAGATTAATAATACTTAATGTAATATATAATATATAATAATATAAATTCGATGTGATTTTTTTAGAGTATGCTTGAATAGGAAGAATATTAAAACAAACTAACAAATACCTATTATATTGTAGGAGCTCATGTATCTCACCTTGGTCAGACAGCTGAGGAAGAACTGAATAGATTACTAGGAATTGTTGTTGATGTGGAAAACTTGTTCATGTGTGTTCACAAGGAAGAAGATGCTGACACTAAACAGGTTTATTTTTACTTGTTTAAGGTGGGTTTGTTAGAAAGATATTTTTTTAGTTTTAAAGTTAATCTCTTGTGTTCCTTGTGTGAATATATATATATATATATAACCCCTGTGGTACATTTCAAAAAAGACCCAAAACTTGACTGCTTTCAGATAGTTGACTATCCTTCTTCAGTAGAATAAAGAGTGATAATTAGTGAGTACAATGTAATATATAAATACAGGATGTTGATGTCACATAAGCCAGACATTCCAGTTGAGTGGACTCTGGAGACTAGCCAATCATAATTGGAGACGGTTTAGTTTGTACAAAAGAAATGTGTCCATTACATGAAAGATTGATAATAGTTAAAAGTTTAAACAGATGTTAAAACAATTTTCAAAGGATAGAAAAATGTACAGTTTCAGACACCTCTGCTTGTGACATTTCAACAAAAACAGTGAATGTATAAAAGTAATACTATGAAATACAGATTGGAAGAATTTATTTTTCTATAGAGTGGAGAGTCTATTACACATTGTACGTTTATGTATTAAATGTAAACTGCTTTGGAATAATCAGACATTTTACTTTTAAGGCTAAAATATAACTATTTTAATGTTGAACAGAACATTGGCTTATGTTTTACAGCTTCTGAGAAAAAGCATTCTACAAATGACTAAACCTTCTGTGGAAGGCCCACTAGGAAATCCTCCATTTGAAAAGCCAAATATTGCAAAGGTAAGTAAGAAAATAAATAAGAATTATGTCAAACTATTCCATATTTGGCTAAGGACAAAGTAAAATAATATTTTTTGAGTCTTATGTTATTTCATAATAGCTAGTTTGCAGATGAGCTCAGTAAAGGTTTGCCTATTTAAATACCTGAAGCTTAAAGTTACTTGTTTGAAAAACTGAATTTTATGAACATAAGCAAAACAAGATATGTGATCATTATCAGCTTTAGAATTTTATGTATAAGCTAATTATATTCAACACGCATATAAATCTGGCTTTATAATTGCTAGTTCATGGTATACAGTATACTTTCTTCAGAGAACTTTATATTAAGACTTATTTTTTTAAATATTTATCAAGCACACACACACATGCACATATATATAAACTGAAGGAGAACTCAGAGTGGCCTGGGAGGGGGGTCATTCTTATCTATATGACATAACTCTCCTACCAAAGGGGGCTAAAATGGGCTCAGAAGATCACCCAGGCATGAAGAGGGTCTAGGTGTATGTTTTCAAGGCCACTAAGCCTGGATTCTGCACTATAATTTGTGTTCCTGACCTCCCTATTAATCCTGGGGTCCCATGTTTTAAACTGTGTTCATACCCACATTCACAAGCTATTGGGTTTGAAAATGGCACATTTGCTCAGGTTCCACTGGGACATGTTTCAAAGAGATTTATTTTTGGGTACAGACCCCTCTCTTGGATAGTAAATAAGTAATTGGAGATAATGGAGAAGCTTGATTAGTATACTAGTGTATCTGTGAATCATGAGGGGGCTTTGAAACCTTCAGTGGAGCACAGGTATCTTATGTTACAGTTAAAATGTATCCAATCCTACTTTATTTCTTTGTAGTAAGCTTTGACAAAGGATGTCATAGTAGGTCCTTTAGGCACAGACTTGAGCTATATTCTTAGTTTCTTCCATATCTGCTTTCTTGTTTATACAAGGAAATGATATTGGGGGTTAATCATAAACACTATAATATCCCGACTTTTTGTTTGGGTTTGTTTCATTGAACATCTAGATAATCTTTTAAATAATAAGGGTTGCACAAACTAATATGTTGTTTTTAAAACTGAAATCCTGTTAACTCTCTCGCTACAAATTTGGTTGACTAGGTCCAACTTGGAACTACTTTGTAACCATAAAACTCTACACACTATAATTCTGAATATACTAAGTGTAGCTTGATGAAACTTGGCAAGCTCTTAGTGAACATTACAAGTATGTTTTTTTAATAAATTATTTTTACTAAACATTTGTCTGTGGATTTACAAAGTCTACTGAGTTAGTCTGAGTGAAAGTTATTTTCATGCTAAGAATAAAAATACTTATTTTCAACTTACAGTTTTTCATATTTCATTTGAATAACCTCTAGAACCTCCTGAGTGAATATCAAGAGATCTTTTTATGGTAAAACTTTATACTTTATTTCTTATTTTTTCCACTCTAACTGTAGTGAAATCCTCAATGTATTAGGTCGTCAAGAAATTAATGTCGCTGTTTTTTAGATGAAAAAACCCGAACAACTTGTATATCAAAACAATACATTTATTAAATGAAATAGTCTCCATTCTTATCAATGATGATTTTCCATCTTACAATCAGGGTGCTAATGCCCTGATTAAAGAAATCACTTGACTTTGAAGCAAAAAACATGTCAATGTCCTCTTTAAGACCTTCCACATTTGTATACATTTTCCCTTTAAGATGGTGTTGTAGCGAACAAAAAAGATGGTAATCTGATGGTGCCATATCTGGAGAATATGGTATATGTGGGAGAACTTCCCAACCCAACTCCAGAATCTTGTGTTGCGTCAAATGTGCCACATGTGGACGTGCATTGTCGTGGAGAAGAGGAACACCTTTTC